GAAGGGCCACAACAAGGCAACTGGACTTTCTTGGGTTTGTTTTGTTTTTTTTAAAGATGATTTGCTTATCATCCAAGAACGTTCTTCAGCTCTGACTGGATGGTGGGGAATGGAAGGATTTATATTTCTTGCAGACAGCTGGTCATTTGCATCCTTTTAGAGAGTCTTTGAGGCCTCTTGGAGGTTTATCTGTGTCCTCAGGACACCTGAGTGGTGCAAATGGGTGTGGAGCCTTCTTGGACAGTTGAATGCCTTCTCTCAACAGAGGCTGAGAGATACGACCCCATCTATCTCCAGTCTACAACACAGTCCTTTCAGCTGTTCCAAGAAGGCTCCACACCCATTTGCACTACTCAGGTGAGGGACCCAGACAAACCACCAAGTGGCCTCAACAACTCTCTTCTGCAAAGAATATAAATCCTTCCATTCCCCACCATCCTGTCAGAGCTGAAGAAGCTTCTTGGATGAGAAGCGAAACGTCTTCAAAGGAAAACAAAGTCCAGTTGCCTCTTGAAAAAACAAAAAAGCACCTCAGAGACTGATAATTCAGGGCAACTCTCTCATAATATCCTCCTTTTCTTCTTTAAGTTTATAAGGAACCATAAGTGACCAGACACTAAAGAATCAATATAGAACACAAAAAGATTAATATCCAAAGAAAAACAGAGGCATTTCATAGCCGCCTTGAATAGAAGTGCCATTTGGGGCTCCCCTTGAGGAGCACCTGGACGCTCTAACTGGTCCAGAATGCGGCCGGGCGGGTGATTATGGGGGCGACGTGGCGCTCCCATGTAACACCTCTCCTGCGCGAGCTGCACTGGCTCCCGGTGGTCTTCCGGGTGCGCTTTAAGGTGTTGGTTCTCATCTTTAAAGCGCTCCATGGCTTAGGGCCAGGGTACCTACGAGACCACCTGCTGCTACCGATAACCTCCCACCGGCCAATACGCTCTCACAGAGAGGGCCTCCTCAGGGTGCCGTCGGTCAAGCAATGTCGGCTGGTGGCCTCCAGGGGGAGAGCCTTCTCTGTGGGGGCACCCGCCCTGTGGAACGAGCTACCTCCTGGAATACGACTGATCCCGGACCTCCGGACCTTCCATAAGGCCCTGAAGACTTATTTATTCCAGCAAGCCAGCCTAGCCTAAATGGTTTTTAATGGGATTTTTAAATTTTATAGACTTGGGGTTTTAAATTGGGAGGTTGATTGATTTAATCTCTTTTAATTATCCTAACTTTTGTATTGTATGTATTTTAATTTTGGCTGTTCACCGCCGTGAGTCCCTTTTGGGAGATGGGCGGTATACAAATTAAATTAAAATAAAATAAATAAATTTGGCATTCCACAATTTTCCATAAGGATTATATAAAAGATTTAGAAGGAATTCTTAGTCCTGGGGCAGATTGATGTACAGATAGTCCTCAACTTACGAACTCTACTGAGTCCAAAATTTATATTGCTAAGTGAAACATTTGTTAAGTGTGTTTTGCCTCATTTTATGACCTTTCTTGCCACAGTTGTTAAATGAATCACTGCAGTTAAGCTAGTAATACAGTTGTTAACTGAATCTGATTTCCCCATTGATTTTGCTTGTCAGAAGGTCACAAAAGGTGATGAAGTTACCTCAGGAACACAGCAACCATCATAGATATAAACCGGTTGCCAAGCATCTGAATTTTGATCACATGATGATGGGGATGCTGCAAAGGTTTTAACTCTGAAAAACGGTCATAAGCAACTTGGTTCAGTGCTGTTGTAACTTTGAATGGTCATTAAATAAGCTGTTGTAAGTCGAGGACTACCTGTACTGCCAAGCACAACTAATCAGTGTTGGGAAAAAAAATCTCCAAATATGTGTGCTCATTCACCAGAGTCATTTAGGATTCCAGGGCACATATGTGCTAGTTGTTCCTGACTCTACGGGGTGGTGCTCATCTCCGTTTCAAAGCTGAAGAGCCAGTGCTGTCCAAAGATGTCTCCGTGGTCATGTGGCTGGCACGACTCAACACCCAAAGGCGCACAGAACGCTGTTACCCTCCCACCAAAGGCGGTCCCTATTTTTCTACTTGCATTTTTTACCTGCTTTCGAACTGCTAGGTTGGCAGAAGCTGGGACAAGTCACAGGAGCTCACCCCATTACGCAGCACTCGGGATTCGAACTGCTAAACTGCCGACCTTTCGATCGACAAGCTCAGCGTCTTAGCCACTGAGCCACCGCATATAAGGTATATGATGTATTTCAAACTATCCCATAATATTTATACAGCGGCTATTTCAGATATTCCGTCCACAGAACAGAACAGGTTAGATTGTAAAATCAGGTTAGTCACAGACACTTTTAAGACCCGTCACAAATTACGTCTATGATGGGCAGGTTCCAATATGGTTGTAACTTGAGATTAACTCTAACTCTAACCCTCTGAAACATGATTGTGAAGACGACTAAGCCCTAACCCTTAACCAAGAGATTAATAATATAGATTGTACGGATGAACTTTTCCTGCCAGACCAGACATGTTGACCTTGGTAGGGTAAAGTTGTCTGAAAATCTGTAAAGTACCTTCGGTTGCAGCTTGAGTATTAAGTGTGTTATTTTTACCTCATAGTTTTTATTTATCTGTATTTATATGCCATCCTTCTCGCAAAGCATGATTCTGCAAGGAGTACCAATGAAAATACAGAATAACAGAGTTGGAAAAGGACCTTGGAGCAGGGGTGAAATCCAGCAGGTTCTGACAGGTTCTGGAGAACCGGTAGCGGAAATTTTGAGTAGTTCGGAGAACCGGCAAATACGACCTCAGGCTGGCCCCAAAGTGGGGCGGGAATGGAGATTTTGCAATATCCTTCCCCCAGGAGTGGGGAGGGAATGGGGATTTTGCAGTATCCTTTCCCTGCTACGCCCAAGCCATGCCCACCAAGTAACACCACGCCCACCAAGCCACACCCAGAGAACCAGTAGTAAAGAAAATTGGATTTCACCACTGCCTTGGAGTTCTTCAAGTTCAACCTCTTGCTCAAGCAAGAGATCCTATACCCGTGATGGCGAACCTATGGCACGGGTGCCACAGGCGGCACACAGAGCCATATCAGTGGGCACGCAAGCATTGCCATAGCTCAGCTGCAGCACGCATGCGTGCGCTAGCCAGCGGATTGTTGGGCCCACCGGAAGTTGGAAAATGGGCTGTTTCCAGCCTCTGGAGGGCCTCCGCGGGGGTAGGGAAGGCTGTTTTCGCTCTCCCCAGGCTTCTAGAAAGCCTCTGGAGCCTGGGGAGGGTGAAAAATGGGCCTACCGGGCCCACTGTGCCATCACATGCTAAAAGCAGTGGGTGGGAGGCGCGGAGGCAGGCACATTTGAACTATGGGTGTGGGCACGCACATGGGTGACCTCCCCGCGCTCCCCCCGCTTTTGGCACGTGACGGCAAAAAGGTTAGCCATCACTGTCCTATACCATTTCAGACAAATGGCTCTCCAAACTCTTCTTACAAACCTCCAGTGTTGGAGCACCCACAAGTTCTGAAGGGAAGCTAATCCACATCAAATCATAAAGTAAACAATCAAATTCTACAATTAGAAACGTTATGGTCAGCCTGATATGTAGACCGGATTTGGCATTTTTATCCACCTCTCGAGGACTTCCCAAGGATTTGGGATAGCCAGATGATGTTCTTTGATGGTGTTAAAAGTTATCCTTGCAGGATTGTTAGAAGAAATTTCCTTCTGGGTTCAGCTCCAAGTGGGGAAAAAGACACTGGAAACATGGAGATTGCTTGGAAAGATGGTTTAATGGTGGACAGATCACATGGTTTGAGTTCCTGAACAGAAAAGGGGCGAGACACAGCGAGTCCCCGGGTTTTATACCCTCTCTGGCTTTGAACTTCCCGAGGCCCAGAAAGAGTATCCTGATTGGTTGTCAGACTCCCAGGGGGTGGGGGGTCTTAGCTAGCCTTGCTGGCTGATGTAATCTTCCCAGGTGCCATGTGGTGAGTTTCTGTTGCTAGATGGGTCCTATTGTGTTGCAGATGATGGTCCATTGACAAAGATTGAGTTTCTGCCTCGGGCCCCTTGACAAAGGGTGGGGGCAGGAAGATGGGAGCTGCTTCGTCTTTAAAACATGCTTCTCCATTTCTCATCCAGGGAAACATAATATTCTGCCTTTTTAATATTTCCTAAAATATTTCATTGTTCTAGGAAAGGGGTGGGTGCCAACTTCCTACAGGATAGAAGGTGTTCCAGGCAATTGCTGCCTTTTGCAATTGACTAACGGTGATTTTTGTCAATGCCAACTGTGTACAAGTGGTGCTTCAGTTTAGGGACCGCATCCAAGGTGGCTGTGATTATTGGAACTACATTTGTCATTCTATTTCGATCTGCAGGTTTTTGTATTCTGTTATCTTCTCCACTTCTTTCTCTGCTGCTGCTGCTGCTGCTGCTGCTGCTGCTGCTGTTGTTGTTGTTGTTGTTGTTGTTGTTGTTATTATTATTATTATTATTATACTAAAGGACTTGGAAAGAGCATTAGATGCATCCAACCTTCTCAAGGCACCATTTCCCGCTTGGAAACGGAACCTTTCTACTGCAAATAATAACAGTATTATTTCTGAGTTCATGCACTGGATCCCCTGGGCCAGTTTTCCACCATTTCCCACTGGGAATGAATAGCAACAACAACAATAGCAACGAGCATTTTTTTTTTTTAATGGCGGGAGGGAAGGGCAGTCCCCCATCGCGTCCGCCGCTCAGCAACCGTTACTTCCGCTCTCCGCTTGGCCGAGCGCTCTGACGTCATCCGATACGTGACGCGCCCACCTCTCTTTTCTCTCTGTCTTCTTTCTTTCAGACTGCAGGCCGCTGCCATCCCCCCCCCCGCAGCGTTCCTCTCGTCGGCCAATCGGCTTCGCGGGTGCGCTCGCGCTCCCTCCTGCCCCGCCGCCATTGGTGGCGGCGGCGGACGGAGTGGGCGGGGCGCCGCGTGGTGTCGAGTCTCCTTCGGGTTGCCGGCTCAGAAAGGCTGGGAGAGCCGCCGCGGTCGGACGGTGGGTCGCTCGCTCTCGGCGCGGCCATGTCGACCGTTTTCTACCTCCTCTCCACGCTGGCCGGCTATCTCCTCACCTCGGCTCTGCTGTTGAAATTCCCCGGTTTGCTCCACCGGCGCAAACGCCACCGGTTCCGGTGCCGGCACATCTCCCACCGCGGAGGTGAGAGCAACGCCTGCGCGAAGCGTCCTTTTTGGGGGTGACCGGGCATCCTTCCTCCTTCATTTTTGGGGCGTCTTTTTTTTCTCCCCCCCCCCTCGTCCTCCACTTCTCCTCTGCATATAATTTGGGCATCTTGAATTTCCAAATTCCCTTTAAAAAAAAAAATCCGATTGGATGATTTAAGCCTCCCTAAGAGTTCCTGCATAGTGGGTGGGCGGCCATTTATTCTCCAAATAAATATATAAATATTTTTTTTTTTAAAAAATAAAATATTGTGGTTCATCGCACAACCAGCCAGATTTTTAGATTTGGCTTTTTTTTCCTTTTTTTTTTCCCCTTTTCTTAAATCCACTTATCGAGTCCCTCCCAAGAACCCTCTAGGGCTGTTGCATTAATATTAATAATTTTTAAATGCTTGTTTCCATTAAAGAACTAAATGTTTTTGGAACGCATTTTATCTCTTTACTCTTCTTTGCATTTCTCGATCAGTTTTTAAATAGGATTTTTATCCTTTTTTTAAAAAAAAAAATCGCAGTTGGATAGTTTGTCAAATAGTAGTTTTGATAATATTTGGATTATTTTTAAAGGGCAGAATTTGGATAGTTTCTCAATAGTGGCTGGAAGCGTGCTACTATAAACCAGATAATTAAAAATCAGCTTTTTTGGGGGTGGGGGGTGGAAGGGAGGGATACATGGGATGTCATATTTATCATTTTCTCTACAGATTCCCCCCTCCCCACCAGATCCTTTCTTGGGACAATGAGAAGGGCAGCATATAAATTTGACAGATTAATTTAATTTAATTTCCAATTTATATACCGCCCTTCTCCCTGAGGACTCAGGGCGGTGTACAGCCAAGATAAAAAAACATAGAATACAAATATTAAAAAACATTTGAAAATATATATAAATTTTGGCCCGAAAGTTAAGAAATCACAGACTGATTAAAAGAATTTAAAAATTTCTTCTTAAGCCAACCCGGCTTGCTGGAAAAGATAAATAGATCTTTTTTAAAACAGCGTTTGGATGGGATTTTGTTTGGAAAGGCTGGCTTTGGCAGCAGACCACAATAATTCGATATTCAGTGCCTGATGGGGCGTGAGTCCAACAGGCAGGATGTGAGGTTTCAAGCCTGTGAAAAGACATTATTTGTGCAAAGGAGCGAAGCTAGGAGAATATAAATCAGGAGGGCTTTGATATTTGCGGAGATGGTCAATAAGAGAGACATTGCTGTTGGGGCCAAAAAAAAAAAAAATTAAATCCAGAGATCTATGTTTATTCATCACATTTATATGCTGCAGGTCTCATTGTCCCCAGTCCCTCATTGACTCTGTGGCTTCTATATTTTTTGAGGAAGGGTAGAATTTGCACAAGAAGAGATCATTTCTATCTGGTGGGGTGCCTGTAAAGAATATGATAAATAATATGAGATCCCATGCCTCTCTTCCCCCCACCAAAAAAATCTGATTTCTAATTATCTGTTTTATTAGTAGCATGGATACCACTGCATGTACCTCTGAATGGGCATTGTGGAGGGAACAATTTATTGACTTTGAAATAAGTATATTGAACAGTATTTTGAATCTTTAGATAAGTGATCCGTAGTTTGCACAGTGAGATACGTGCTTTGGGATAAAACTGGGTGTTGATTGTGCCACAACTATTCAGGATTGCTTTTATTATTAGCAGAGGTTACAATAGGGCTACAAATCACATTGATAATTGCCTTCTCTAGGCTTACTACAAGTGCTGGGTGAAAGCTTTCATTACTCGAGGGGCAATGGCAATCAAGGTCTACAGGCCCTTTTTTGGTTTTAATGACCTTGGAATATGGAAGATTTGGAGTTGCGATGGGAGGGGACTTACATGGGGGAAAGAATTAAATAGGCAGGGAGGGAGAAAGGAGAGCAGGAGAAGGAGGGAGGGAGGAAGGGAGCGAGAGAGGAAGGAAAACGAGGGAGGTAAGAAGGAAAGGAAAGACTGGAAGGGAGGGACGGAAGGAGGGAAGGAGAGAAAAGAGAGCGAGGGGAGAGAGGGAGGAAAGAGGGAAGGAAAAGAAAGGAAGGAAAGCAGAGAGGGTGGGACTGACGGAAGGAGAGAAGAGTGGAGAAGAGAAAGAGAAAGAGAGGGAGGAAAATGGAGGGAGGAGGAAAGAAAGGAGCGAGGGAAAGGAAAGACAGGAGGAAGGAAAATGGAGGGAAGGATGGAAGGAAGGAGAGAAGAGCAGGAGAGGAAGGGAGAGAAGAAGAAAAAGGGAGGGAGGAAAGAGAAAGGGAAAGGATGGAAAAAGGAAGGAAAACAGCGAGAAAGAGAGGGAGAGACGGAAGGGAGGAGAGAAGAGAGTAGGAGAAGGAAGGGAGAGAGGAAGGAAAACGGAGGGAGGTAGGAAGGAAAGAAAGGGAAGGGAAGGGAAGGAAAAGGAAGGAAGGAAAAGATGCTGTGTGTTTGGGAAACTAAGCCAGAAAGGAAAGATCTATTATTGTATCTGAATGTAGGTAGTCTGATCCTCTATTGTTGATGAATCCATGCAGCCAAGTGAGGCTGTAGGTTTAAATACAAATTAAATGGATGTACATCTGAATCGATACCACCTCGCTTGTTGAAAGTGGATCGTGCTATGTTCCAGTGAAAGATAATCACGGAAGAACCAAATATGAGTTTGGGGAAAAATTTTACAAAATTCTGAATGAAAGCAATTTGAGGGGTGGGGGGGAATATATACTGGTATATACACATATAAACGGATGGGTGGTTGTGAGATGAGAAAATGCAAGAAAAAAAGCGATCGAGACATTTGGAGACCTGAGGTTAAAGGGAAACAATGACTGGGACGTATCTGTTAAAAAAAAAATCAAGACTGTTTTATTTTATTTTTATTCTGTTTATTGATCAGTATGTTTTATCTCTCGTCGTTGGCCCTAAAGAGAATATATCCATAGCATGGCGGAAGGGTCTGCCTGAGTAGAAAAAATATTATGCTGGAGACGGACTGAATCGAGAAAGAAAGAGATCTTATGCAGAGAATAGAATTGGTGGAGGAAAAGCAAAAAGGGTTATTTTTTTAAAATATCTGTAGAACGGATGACGAAAGAGGTGTATGTTTTTGGTGCACCTGCCAGCCGAGATAGGACCGAAGGCTTGGTGCCTCTGATGGAAAGTTGTCCTCTTGGGTCTCTGTGTATATTTATCCCTCTGCTCTCCTTTAAAGGACCCCCAAGGCTTTTGTGTTCCCTGCAAAAGGGGGGGGGGAACATGCCTAACCCTTCCCACTCGCCCTCCCTCTCTCCCTCCCGCCGAAGCTCTGCTTATTATTGCGTGGCTTGTCAAAATATTCTCATTTGTCTTGAGAACTAAAATCGCTTTCCGCTCCCTACGTCTTTTGCCCTTTCAAATCTCCAGGTTGCTTGTTATAGGTTTAGCTAGCTGGGGAAAAGGAGGAAGAAAAAAGAAGAGGTGTTGGGGGCGGGAAGGAACCAGAATAAAGGAGGATTTTCTGTGTTGATTTTTCCAGATGGCAGAGAAAATGACTTGGAGGTTAGACTAGTCTTCCTTTCAGATAAATAGGATGCTAAAAAAAGCAGGTGTGACTTTGGCAAAGCAGTTTGTTTTCTCTTTCTTTCTTTCTTTCTCTCTCTCTCTCCCTCCCTCCATTCATATGTATCTTTACCCTATCTCTCTCTCTCTCTCCTCTCTCCATTCATATCTATCGATCTATTTTATCTATATCGATCTATCTATATATCATCTCTCTATTCATTCATATGTATCTTTACCCTCTCTCTCTGTCTCTCTTCATTCATGTCTATCGATCTATTAATCTATATTGATTGATCGATCTATCTATATCATCTCTCTTCATTCATATGTATCTTTACCCTCTCTCTCTCTCTCCATTCATGTCTATCTATTAATCTATATCGATCTATCTATCTATATCATCTTTCTATTCATTCATATGTATCTTTACCCTCTCTCTCTCTCCATTCATGTCTATCTATCTATTAATCTATATCGATCTATCTATCTATATCATCTCTCTATTCATTCATATGTATCTTTACCCTCTCTCTCTCCCTCCCCTTGAAATTCAATTTTAACCTTGAAGTCTGTCCTATACTACATTCCTGCCCTCCCCCCCCCCAAAAGGGGTGGAGATTCCTGCCTTCCTCTTCCTGTCCGGAGTCCCCCTCCCTAAGCAAACAGCAGCATCCTGAGATTTTAATGAGTAGGGAGAACAATTTGCACGTATCTGCAAATGTAAGTGACATATTGCTATCATTTTACAGCAGGTAATTACGGTATGACTCTCATCTGTTTTATGGCATAATAAACTTAGCTCTGTCCTTCCGGTGGTCCCTAAAAACAGCTCTTATTTCCTGACGTTCTTATTTTCTCCCCCTTTCCCCCTCCCACTGGTAACGCTGGCTGTTTTCACCTGATTATCACGAAGCCTTTTGGCTTTCCCCATCACCTGTCCCGGTGCAAAAACCTGTTTCCTGAGGTTTTTAATTGGAGTGGTTGGTTGGTTGGTTTTAAATCTCCCTTTAAAATTGTCTTCCTTGTTTTACGTCTTCCTGAATCTCTTTTTCTTCCTCTTTCCATCCTCCCAAGCTTGTCAATCAAGCTATTTGTCTTCCGGAGAGCCATTTGCAACCTGTTATTGAAAAAGATTGCAACCTCCGTTTAGTCCCGCTTTGCAAAACGAGGGTGCTTTTTTTCATGTATTTGTTCTCTCTCTCTTTTTTTTCTTTTTCCTTCCTTCCTTCCTCTCTGCCTCTCCTTCTCTCTCTTTTCTTCTTCCTTCCTTCCTTTCTTATTTTCTTCCTTTCACCTTCCTCCCTTCCTTGCTTTCTCTCTCTTTTCTTCTTCCCTCCTTCCCTCCCTCCCTCTCTTTTTCTTTCTTTCTTTCTTTCTTTCTTTCTTTCTTTCTTTCTTTCTTTCTGTCTGTCTGTCTGTCTTTCTTTCTTTCCTATCTATCTATCTATCTATCTATCTATCTA